ATATTTAATAGGATTCGTATAAAGGAGGGATATAAATAGCTTACTACTTTTATTATTCAATTTAGCCTCTATAAATCTATCGTCTATCCGTTCGGCCTCCAAAGAGCCCTAGGGACCTTCTAGAACTATATTAACAATATTCTTTATAATATCCTCAATATATATATAATAATATACCTCGATAATATCTTAATTTATTTGAATAATGAAATAGACTACGAAAATTATATTAGGAAAATCCTATAGTAGATAATCTAAGTAGGACTTCAAATTAATATTAATAAATACAAATTCTACGTTATAAAAATAAAGTACTTAAGTTTAATTATTATATTAAGAGGATTTAAAATAAACCCTAATAAAATCTCTGTTATTATTATTTAGGAAGCTCTAGAAACCAAAAGAGTATTATAACGTTTTCTAGGTTTCGCTAATTTCTACCAACAATTTATTAAATACTTTTCGATTATCGCTAACCTACTATACGAATTAATAAAGAAATCGATTAATTAATAATAGATTAACTAATATTAAAAGTCTTTTAAAACCTTTAAAAAAGCTTTCAATAATAATCCAATACTTCGGATCTACAATTGGTCTAAATAGACCGTCGTTAAAACGGATACCTCAAATTAGGCTTACAATAGCACTTTATCCTAGTATAACGAAAAGGGAGTTTTATATCCGGTCGCTTACTTCAACTAATAATACTCCTCGGCCGAATATAATTATAATATTTATAATAAGGAATTGCTCGCTATCGTTAAAACCCTTAAGGAATAGCGCTCTAAATTAGAGGGTACCTAAGAACTGTTCGAAGTCCTTACTAACTATAAAAGTTTAAAGACTTTTATAATTAATAAATAATTTACCCCCTATTATATACATTAATTTTAATTCTTCTCCCATTTTAATTTTATAATTAAATACCGCCCTAGATTCTTATAAATATATCCCAACGTATTAAATAGGAAATTAGAGGATTTATTTAAAAATAAAGTTAATAAGAAGCTATTAATTAGAAATAAAGTTTTATTTAATTATAATATTTTTATTAATAGAGCGTTCGCTTTAGAGGATAGAGGTAAGGAGGTTGATATTAATACCGAATATATTTATAATTTAGAAGTATTAAACGAAAAATCGATGGATAACCTAATAGTAAAAGATTACGAGAGGTCGACAATACTTTAAGATATTATTATATGCCTATTAGACCCCAACCGTCGAATATAATCTAGGGAAATTAAAAATTATATAAAATAAATCCCTTTTATTAAATACTAAATAATTTAAGAACGAACGTACTTCTATAGTACTATCTTTATCGACCCTACTAATATAGAACTCTATCTCTCGCTCCTCCGACATATTTACAATTCGCTAACCGCCGGGCATCCAAATTACAAAAAAACCTATTTATTACTATCTCAATCCTTCTTTTAACTAGGAATATACGCTATAATCTAATTATACTATAAAGTTTATTTAATATATATTAAATCTAAATTATTATAATACCCCCCCTACAGCTTTTTAAAATTATTAATAATATTATTCGTATTATAGAAGAATATTTTAATTAATTATATTACCCCGCTCACGCCCTACTTATACTATAGATAGGAATTTAAGTATATCGCTATTATTATTGACCGGCTTACTAAAATATAGTATTATATCCCTACTATAGATTTAATAGTAGAAGAATTAATAAAACGCTTTATAGAGAGAATTTATAGTATTTATAGCCTACTAGATTCTATTATCTCTAACCGTAGTACCCAATTTATTTTACAATTCTAGAAAGCTTTATTATTATAATTAGAAGTTACCCTCAAACCCTCCTCCGCTTTCCACCCCACTACTAATAACTAGACCGAACGTATTAATACTGAAATAGAAAAATACCTTCGCCTCTATATTAATTAGGTATAGGACAATTAAATAAATTAATTACTAATTATAGAATTTGTTAGGAATAATTTAATTTTTAAAATTACCGGTATTTCCCCTTTCTTTATTAATTACAATTTCCACCCTCGTATAGGTATTAAACCGGTTAAACCATACCCGCTAGAAATATTAGCAATATAATAAACCGAATATTTTAAAGTTAATAAATTAACTAACTAATTCAAACAAATTTTAAACTTTATTATAAATTAAGCCTAGTAAGTATAATAGCGCTACAAAGATAATACGAACGCCCAACGGACTAATATACCGAAATATAAAAAAGGAGATAGGGTCCTACTTAATATTAAAAACCTTAATACCGGCTACCCTTATATTAAACTTATACCCCTCTTCGAAGGACCATTTAAAATTATTAAAGCAAATAACTATCAAATTATATTTAAATTTCTAATTAATATAAAGTATAATCCAACGTTCTACATTAATAAAATTAAATTGTAAGACGAATAAAATCTTCTAAAATAGACAAATATAAAAGAATAAAACGTTCGCACCAACCATAGCCGAACTATAAGGAAGACTAATAATAAGGAGGATTCAATAGAATATAAATTTAAAAAGATTAATAAATATTAGAAGAATAATAAAGGCTATTAGGAATACCTTATTATTTAAATACTTCTATATACGCCGTTATAGCAATTACGTGCCGATATATCTATAGCCCCCGACGCTGTACGGGCCTTCTACAATGGACACCTAGAAGTACTATACCTACCGGCCTAGGCGGCGGCGGAGAAAAAGCGGAAGGAGAAGGAGAAGGAAGTAGAGTAGGAGGCTCTAGTTCTGCGGCGGAGGTTACAACGACAACCACTAACAGCAGTAAGGATTTTTCAAAAACAGACCGCTCGTTTAATAGGGATTTTTATTATTTTATATAATATTAGTTAATTATATAACTTCTTTTAGTCCAAGGAAGTGTCACAGGGTTAGCCTATATACCTTATGCCTGGTACCAGCGTATAGTAATTTCTAAGACTGCCGTACGCTATTATTACCGCCGGCAACTGATTGGTTAGAACGCTGCCTACCGCGGGTCTGTCAGACCCGCCGCCGGTTGCCTTTATAAGGCCAGCCTTCTAGGCACTCGGCTGCACTTCTCTTCCTTTCTCCTTCGTACAATTACGTATAATCACATCTACCATCTACCCTTTACCCGTGATACGAAGGGATATAAATATACAATATAATCTAGCTTACAATATACTTACTTGCTAACCTCCTTTTAAAAAACCGAGGCTTATAATAATATAGATTAATTAATAATAAAAGGTATAGATTACAAATTTTATAAGTATAATTAATATATTAATAACAATTAATACGAATTAGCTACCCTCTAATATTATATTAGTAATATTAATAATAGCGCCGGTAATAGTAATAATAGTAGTTTTATAAACGGTAATTTTATATATATAAGGTAATAATAAACCGTTAGTACCCTTATAGAGCCGTATAGTATAGTATAGGGAGTGGGTTATATAATTCTAGATTATTACGTATAATAATAAAAGACTAGATTTTTATACGATTTTAACTATTTCGTTTATACGTAAGTCTGATTTTTGTAGGCTATACCAAATATACAAATATATACTAATATTGCTTACTACAAAATTTTAGTACGGTTAATATTTACTAATATCTTCTACACTATATAGGGCGGCCCCTTCTAATTAGTATACGGTCACATTATCGAGGCACACGGTCACTTTATCCGCCCCGAACACGAAGGACACGATACTCCCTTTCGGGATGGACGATTTCCTAAACAAATTAACAGTTTTGGTACAATCAAGCGACAAAGGCTCCATTCAAGCAGCTTCCACAAGGAAACAAACAAACAACAACAAAAGTATTCCAGTTTCTGACCAAGGAAACCGCCAAATTCAACCACCACCGTGCTGGCCGCCGGACACACAGCATGGAGGTTTGAGGTTATCACCACCACGTCTCAGCTCATCACCCATCTATTTACACATTATGAATCATACCCATCATACCACAAGGCCGTAGTCTTGGGTTCGAGCCATGTTCTTGTCACCATCGTTTAGCTTGGGTCTTCACAGAACGGAACAGAATGCGGGCATGTATGGAAAGTTCCCTACTCGATCCAGTCCGGGATCTGTCCAGTCCCTCACTTCTTCTAGTCCTCTCCTACCCCCTTCCACAACATAAACACCACAACAGCTTCTCGCAAAAATCCCAATTTCCCTTTCAACAATGAGAGACATAGACGCCCATCATGACAAACGCCAAGGCGCATAGTTGATCCAATTCGAACTGTTCATCATCTACTACCTCTATGGAATGGAGCATCCATCGGACTGAACATTTTTCTCGAAACCTTTCCCATGTCCCGTCTATATCGCTTCTTCCACCGAAACCGTTCCTGTCTCCGTCAATGCCGTGTCCGCTCTCGAGAATTCGAGGGTTTTGGAAAGGCATCTTGCTCAAACTGACTGCCTCCCTCCGTGCAGCTCATGCCTACCTACCTACCTATTCCCTGTTTGACCCTTCTCGGCCCTGCTCGAGCGATGTAAGGGTCGCGTTGTTAGACTCTAGGGCCCGGTTCATTGGACTAAACATCCGGGAGATTGCAGACATACATCGAGTGCCGCTTAGAATATATGCCAGATAGAGTGTGGAAGGGGACGACATCATCACATCTGCCCAGCGGCGAGAAATTCTGAAATTCGAGGCTTTGTTTGGTGAACTGGAAGAGGACATAAGCGCCAGTGCGCACAATCATTGATGATAGAGGTATTCCGGTCGACGCTTTCAATTATCCGGGCATTTAGGGTCTGCTGTCATGAAAGGATCTTTGTAACATTTATTCATTACATCTCTAGCACTCTCATCTCCACCTCTACACTGTCTACCTTGCCCTTTGTCAAATCATGGGTATCATTATTGTTATCATTACCTCTATCATTACATATCATTTGGGTATACAACGCTGTCCCGTTAAATCAGCATCTTCCTGTCCTTCCTCCTTCGAAAGCAACAAAACAACATCAGTGTGCAAACCTAAAATCCAGCCTCTTCGGCCCCTCATCCAGGGTAGTCAACACATAGTCCCGCTGCTCCTCCGAAGTCATGGCCTTCCACTTCTCCTCCTTCGCCTTATTTCTCCACACATAAAACGCCTTGGTCAGATAAAACAGCACGATATTCAAGCAGACCATGGCCAGCAATACCTTATTCCCCCTCTTGTACAGCGGCTTGTCGTCCTCGCGGTAGATATTATCGTAGATAATATTGCCATCCTGCACAAACATAATGTACAGCGCCGTCGAAACCGCTCTCGTCTGCACGCTGTTGCTGTTCTCAGCAGTCCAAGCGACCAGGATGGCGTGGCAGTACGGGTACGACAAGATACCGATTAGAAGAGCATAGCGGACCCAGACGCCGGCGTCGGGCAGGGCGACGATAGCAGCGAAGAAGGAAAGCATCCACCACTGCGAAAGGGAGGCGATAAAGCCACGCTCCTTGAACCGCCTGGAGAAATACGAAAGGATGACCAAGTTGCAGGCGAAGAGGAAGTAAGCGGGGATGGTGAGCAGGTTGGCTTGAAAGACGCTGAAGCCGTGGGTGCGGAGGATCAGACTCAGGTACTCGCCTGGCGGACCAGGAGGGATGTAAGCGCACACGCCGACGATGTAGAGCGGCCACATCTCCCACTCCTTGATGGCCTTGAGCAGACCCTTGGCCGAGACACCCTCGCGGTTGTTCATGTCGCCCTTGGAGGGATCATCGCGCAGCAGGCGGTTGACCAAGATGAATTCCTCGCGCTCGGAGAACCAGCCGTCCTTTCCGCGGAACCAGGATTTGGTCTGGCAAGGACCCGGGGGCATCAGGACGAATGCGAAGATGCCGACGACCAGAGACATCAGGGCCTCGATCAGGAACAGCCACTGCCAGCCACTCCAGCCTCGGATTCCCCGCATCTGCAAAATCCCAGCGGCCATGAGGGAACCGGCAATGTTGACGGTCGACAAAGCAGTCCAGAAGAACGCCAAGCGGAGAGGCAATTCGTTGGACTTGTAAAAGTACGTCAACCACAGAACAATTTCGGGAATGAAGCCACCCATGGCAACGCCCATAAGCGCCTTGATGACGTAGAAGTGCGCTCTTTTCGTGATCCAGACTTGAGCGCCCGACAGGATGGACCAAGACACGATTTGCATGGGAACGAAGCGATCAGCGCCGAGCTTCTTGGCTACGAGGCCAGAGGGAAGTTCAGCGAGCAGGAAGGCAGCAAGGAAGATGGTTTGACCATAGTTGAAGTCGTTTGTGTTCATTCCTGGGATGCGTCAGTACCTACCTACCTCTAGGTATCCAAAGTCAATACGAGGAACGGCCGAACAACAAAGGACATACCCACCTAGCTCCGGCAACATATCATCGCTAATAGCCCGGTTGATATTCTTCCGATGCAAGTCCAAGCTGCAAAACATGATCCAAGCCCAAAACACGATCCGCAAGTCCATCTTGCGCACAAGCTTGCGCTCCTCCGACGCGCCCCATTCAAACGACGGGTCAAATCGGTGCCGGTTCTCGTACCCGGCGCGCTCGTAGACGTCCGCCCAGTACGCAGCAATGGCAGGGTCGCTGAAGACATGATCGGGCGTTGAACCGTAGTTGCTGGCGTGTTTGGTGCCGCCGCCGCCGAGTTCTTCGGTGATTGAGACCTGGTACACAGAGGCCGGTGACGAAACACCCGTGACGTCTTTTAGGAATCCAAAGGAAGTGGAAGTGGTTGTAGAGATGGTGTTCTTTTCGTCTTGGAAGGTTATTTCTGGCATGGCTGCGGAACGGCCCGGGGGCCTTCGAATGATGGATACCTCTACCTAGAGGTAAGCGGGGAACGAATTGGGTGTCGAGGCAGTCTGGGAAAGGGTCTGGTGGCAGTTTGTTCGAAATTGGCGTCGACGAATTGAAGCAAAGGCGCACGGGACGAGACTCTGCTACGGCTTTGGTCTGGTTTGGTGCTCAAGAGCATCGCCGCGGAAACCCAAGACATGGCGACCGACATCAACATCGTACCGTGACGCGAATTATATGGAAATCCGTTGGATAGCCCGGTCTGGGTGATAGCAGGGAAACTCGGTAGCAACTCGGGACATTTGGTGTTGACAGCTGCGGATGATCTGCGTCATCAACATGTCGATCAATCCCGTAGATTCAAGCGTTGTTGGTCCTATGTCGGGAATGGAAAAGGCGTGTCTGCGGATGGCGCCATCATGGGCGAATACCTACCTACTGCTCTGCGGCTGTGCTGTGGTAGAGGGACTGGGCATATATTATAGATAGGTATGGTCAGCATGTAAATATCAAGTATGCGTCCATCCACTACGGTAGAGGTACCTAGCCATATCTCAATAGGTGCTGGCATACTTGGAGTGAGGGCACCTGATAGGCGGACCTCTTATCGATATTCCGGTTGGACGTGCCTATTATGGGGCGGTTATCACATAAAATCAGACAGATGAACGAAATACGGTCCTCAAACAGATGGTTTTGTTGAAGGCCGTCGGTCAGGCAGTTGTGCTTGGATGCTGCAGGTGGTTGAGAGCGATGGCCGGCAATAGGACGGACTGGAGCCTCGTGCGGTTCAGACGATGCAGACTGGAACTAGAAACAAATTGGACTAGTCAAAGCTCCACCACGTACTACTAGCCAAGACGAGAACAACGATGGTATAAGTGTCATGGAGAACAAATGGAAGGTTTAGATGCTGTGATACTTGGTGGTGTTTAGAACGATGAACGTCGTGGTTTGAAAGGGGCGCAGTCGGCTGGGCTTTCTCGGCTTCGTCATGGAAGCCAGGTCTTGACAATTTCCATCAGCCTCCGTCTTCCAACAAACCGGATGGATTCCTTACGAGTTTAAAGCTTCTTCCAAGCTATGAGTTCAAGGGTCGTTCTTTCGGGAAACGTCAGTTTTGGCGACGAGTCCAGACAAACTCAAAGCGCCGGGGAAACGCACGGCAGTTCGATGCACGCGTCGATCACGATCATCGTTGCAGGTTCTAGTAGTACCTACACACCACCTGTTGCAGATTCATCCTACTTGTCATGTGCATTGATCGTTTTATCGTCTACGCGGCTCAAAGACGACAAAAAGGCGTCTATATACCTCTCCATTTCATCTGAGGTGTGCCACACATTCAATTTCATCCGACCTACATCGCCAAAGGCAACCACAGCGTAGAGCCACACTCGTGCGTTATCGAGAGCAAACATACCTAGAGAAACCGCACGAATACCCACTCAGAGAAAGGAGAAATATCACTTCCCTTCGTTGAGCCTAGGGGTACATAGCACTTCTTCATCACAAGGAAGAAACAAAAAAAGGGCGACGGAATCACAGAGAACATGCAGTAGACAAACAGATTCACATCTAGAGCTCCCTGTAGGTATCTATCCGTCGGCTCAAAAGAGAGCCACATGCATTTTCTTCTCCATATCCTGTGTGCCACAGCTGGCTTCGTACGTGTACTCAGCGGCGCTTGGAATCGAAACAGACAGAACAACCACGAATTTAGTACCGGAGCGGACACAGAGGAGCTCCTTCATGTGGGCGCCGACACCGACGTGCCACAGATTGGCCCGCACCACCGGCTAGAGGAGTCCAAGATGGACGCAGATGGTCCTGATATAAGTACACCGGCCTCGCAAGAAACCCAGAAGACACCGATGTGACCGTCATTGTCGAACTCGATGAGCTTGGTCTCCTGGATGGAGTGGATACGGAGCTGGCGTTAGCCTGCTGAAATACGCGGTCGCAAAACTAAAAGGGAGGGTAATAGTAGGAGATCAATGTCGGTGGGTGGGCTGGGGGCACTGGTGTCGAGAGTCGGCATAGAGGGGCAATGAAGTACTAGGAGTGATCTATGGTCCTCATGAACTGACAGCACATTCACTGGGTACCTCTGGCCATGGTTAGAGGAGATGTGGTTATTTGTGAGAGTGGGCGAGGAGCTGAGGGTGGACTGAAATAGAGAACGACATGGCTGGAGGAGATTGGTTAATTCCATCGTTGACAGCAGAGATCAAGAGCGTCTCTGGGAAAAACTTTGTCTGCTGTTACAAGGCAGGCACCATCAGCGCTGAAGGCACGGTCTCCAGCCCAGCTTTGGTACTTCTTGCTTGCTGTCGTGAATGGAGCCAGACAGGTACGAATCTGACCCATGACGATAGAGATCAAATGGGGTCTCTGGAGGTCTGATGCGAAAGTTGTGAGCAGTAATGGTTGCGTGTCGGGAGAAGAGGAGGGAACAGAGAAGGGAAAGACCAGTCTCAACGTCCATGGGGTTTGTTGCGCATGGCGGGGCGCGAGGTGACCTCAGGTCAGGATCCATCTCGCAAATAACCTAACCGAAGGGAGGTCGATGAGGGTCTTCATAGAGGTACCTCTGCCGGAAACAAGGGCCTCCCAACCCTCGAGATCGAAACGCTTGTCGCTCGAGGCTGTAATCGAGTACGGAAAATAAGTCAGACTGACCACGAACTGAGCGGCCTGCTGGATAGGCACCTAAAAACCAAGCTGTCGGCTGTGGCGTGCTGTCGTGTTCTTTGAGATGAATCTTGTTGATGATGCCTGCCATGGGGTGCAAGGACAGACTCTTCGAGGAGGTTATTGATGGTAGAGGTAGTAGTGAAGTTGAAGGTCGAGGACCGGCGGCTGCAACAAGCGGAAGCCACACGGGTGGAGGAAAAACCCAGCAATGATCGCGTAGGTCAACGAGATACATGTGTTGCCCTGATTAGTCCATCTCCGCTATCTCAAGCTTTCTGTGTCCTTGGGCTGTGCCCCCTGACCCTCGAAAAGGAAGCTAACCGAAGCCAACGTCTTGCCCTGGCGCTCGCAGAACGCCGTTTTGAGCCAGGTGCGGAGGCAAAGAGAGCTGCCAGCTTATGGGATACTGTCTAGGAGGAGCACGGCTGGGGCCCTACGGTTCCGTTTAGAATTGCTCGGGGCGGTTGAGCTGCTGCTTGTGGAGGAGGCAGCTTGTGCCTAGGTTGTTTCTTGCTGCAGCCACCATGAACAAAGTCGTTGAAAGTCAGCTTGATGGCATTCCCAGGCAGGGCAACACTGACAGCCTGGAGTAGAGCATCTGAATGGGGAACTGTATGTGTGCGCTCTGTGGGATGCTTTTGCCTCCGCTGGGTTTCTATTCGTTTGTCGCACGGGGAATGCGTACTGGTGAAAGTGACGCCTCAAGCCAGCGGACTGATGGCGTCCAAATCGGGATGCTGCCTCGCCCACAGTCGTAGATGTAGATGTACTTCTTCATCGCCCTCCACCAACGCCCCTCCTCCAGAGGACATCACCTATTCTCCTCAGGAGTGTCGTCCTTCTCTTCGCTATCGAGCATGCCCGATGTGGCCGGTAGCCCCTGACCATGACCATGACCGCACCCAGCCAGTATTCCGGTGAAGGACTTCCGTCAGCTTCCGGAAAGGAGTGAGCGTCATTGACTGGAAGCAGAGGACACCACGCGGCGTCGTGGTTGCTACCTAGAGGTACCTCTAGAGGTACCTTTAGGATGAAGGGTGGAAGTGGACGATCATCCTGTGAGGATTGGGCTTGCAAGGTTTTTGGGTTGTAACGTGCGGGAAGAGACTAGATGCTGAGTACGGAATCTGAGCAGGCTGCGAGCCTTATTGATGTTTACCTCTAAGTAACAAGTGGAAGTCAGCACATGTTCCATTTGTTGATACTGAGGTCAAGTTCTTTCGGACATTGCCGGCGCGTTATGAAAGTCGAAAAACATGAATCGTTTGCTCACCTTTGTCTCCTCTGGGCTTCAATGCAGGCCCGAGAAGGAATGGGGACGGAAATTTCCCATGCCGCCCATGATCTGGAGAGAAGTGTTCGACGGTCTCACGAGAGGACTCTGACTTGGAGTTGAAGGTGAGACGAGGTTGAACCAGTAAGGTACTAACATGAACCTCTTGTCAAAAAAATAAAGCAGAGCGGTGGAGAGAAGACACAGGTACTAGAGTCACCGAGACGATTAGCGGCGGTGTCAACCACCAAAATGACTGCTATTATAGCTGCTCCGACCACCACCAGACAAGTGTAGGTAGAGGTACTTACTCGGTAGATCCGACAAAACCACACTGGCGACACTGGCGAGACTCATAGGGGCCTGGCATGGAAACGAGACTCGACAACATCCCTCGCCTTGGAAACCTGACGACAACGTGGCCTTGGAAAATGGAAACGACTCGACAACGTGCCACCCGGCAGCCTGGACCTCGACCACCACCTCCCGACCACTTCCCATCTGGTCGAAAGGGGACTGGAGACGCCGTTGAAAATACCAGCCTCAGATTGACCTGGGTGGAGTGACGGCGAGATGACGGAAAAGATGCCCGGATGAGACCTGATATACCAGACAGTGCCTGGCAGTGGCGGGGAAGGAGGACCAGATGGGAGAAGAGGGAGAGGAAGGTGCAGATGGGAATTACCTACACATGTACCTCTCTTAATTCAAATTGGTACCTAGAGATAGAGGTAGGTAGGTATCAATCTTGGGGGGAAAGTCCCCTGGGAGCTCAGCTGTGTTGCGTCCAGCCTAGAGGTAGGTATGTTCGTTGCGATCTCTCAATCCCCTTTATGTTTCTACCCCTCAATCCTCGTGCCGCTTTTCTGAACGACAAAGGCACGCGCGCGCAAACGGGTTTCTGTTGGGATAACGGACAAACAACGACTGGAAGCCGGGTACTGCACCGAAAAACTGGTCATTCCGTGTTTACCTCCTCACGCTTCTCCAAGTGTATCAGATCAATCCCATCTCCCAACTTGGGACAAAGCAGTGGAAACCAACAAACAGACATTGAAGGACGGGACGTAATTGAACCGAAATTTGTATCAATGAGTAGAAGTAAACAGGTATTATTACCAGAAATGTCTATCCAGAAAAGTGTCTATCTATATGTGATGATGATGATGATGATGAAGATGTAAGTATATGCCCTAAAAAGCAAATGCTCCTTTTCCATCCCTCCCAATCTACAAAAGCATGGCGATCATACCGCGACTTCTATAAACGTCATCCTCCCAAATTCGTACATCCGTACATCATTAACTACCGTGGGTATCTTCCTTCTCCTTGCCAACCACACACCGTGCAACGAGCCTTACTCAGCCTTCTTACTCGTCTTCGTCCTCAACTTCATCAACGCATAAACCATCGCATAACTGCTCGCCACAAACACACACACAATCCCCGCATCTCTCCACCCATACCCATAACTCTTCAAGTTGATCGTCTGCAAGTAATCGCTACCCGACGTATACTGACAAACCCTGCACCCCTCGGTCGCGCTTGGGTTAATCAAGTTCGTCGCCCGTCCCATGCCCATCATGTACCCCTCCAAGTACTCGGCGCACGTCGTGCCATTGGGCGGGTTGAACACGGCAAACTCCTGGTCACGGCACTCAATCTTCTTGTCCCAGAGGTTGAACACCAGCATGGAGCCCATGAGGTAGTTGAACGGGTTGAGGTAGTAAATCCAGTAGCGCCAGAAGACCTGAATCTGCTGGTAGGGCACGAGGACACCGCAGAAGGAGACGAGGATACCGATGACCAGGGGGTTAGCGAGGGTGGCGAAGATGGCGTTGGGCGCGTAGGCGGCAATGAACTGGCCGATGCCCGTGTAGACGAACTCGTACATGAGCATGACGAAAAAGGTGCCGCCGGCGCGGGACGAGGCGTGCGGGGCGCCCGTGGTGTAGTACCAGCAGGCAAAGTAGAGGACGGCGCAGACGCACAGGTAGGGGATCTCGGACACGACGAGGCCCGTGACGAAGGCGATCCAGCTGTACATTTTGGATTTCTTCTCGCGGGCTTCGAAAATGTTGCGGCGCTCGATGAAGAGAGGCTGCAGCTGGGCGATGACACCGGGAGCGACAAAGATGAAGTTGAAGATGGTGAACAGGCGCATCTGGAGGTCCGAGACGCTGTCGCCGATCATCCAGAAGGAGAAGCCGTTGAAGAGGGCCGAGC